TGTTAGCCTTAAATTTTATGAATTTATGTAACTATCTTAATTTTAATAGATCGATTTTAAGAATAATAAATGTTATATCTCAGCTGGTCAATACAACCCCAAACTTCTCAGAAAAAAAGAAGATTGTAATCTCAGCCCAAGTCATATGCTAATGTTATGTCACTGCTTGCTAGAAATGTATAAATAAACTTCTGCTGACGGCAGAACTGGAAGACTTGCACACAACTCCCATTCCCTTGCCTTCCTCGCGCCTGCTCTCTTTACCCCTTTTTTAGGAATCTTCCTTTTCCCCCTTTTTAGGACTCTCCACTCGCAGATGCCGCTCCCACCTTAAGACCCTGCCTATTCTGCACTCCCAACAATCCGTGATCGGGACGTCCCCAGAACTAGAGCTCACCTGCCTTGATGGTCTCCCTCCCACAGCAAATTTCTACCACGGTAGGTACCCATCCTCTTCTTTCCAACAATAAAGCATTTTCAAGTATTGTTTTACTGTGTGTCCAAGATTGCATGCTTTCTCTGGTAATAGGGTGGCCACAGGATGGGGGAAATTCAAGAATGAGAAACAATAAACAATTTATGCTAGTGGCCCCATCCAAATTTGAATGCATGGGCAGACTTTTTAAAAACACCCTCCTTGATCTGAAGATTTAAATTTTAAAGACTGTTTCATATAATAGCTGAAAAGTTTTCTACTTGTGTGAAAGCAATATTTTTTTTTTTAAAGAAAGGGAACCTAATTAAAAGATATTAAACGATTACTTAGTGACCATCAACTTTCAAAAGTATGGTAAAAATGAGGCCCGGTTCTATGTAGCCCACGTACTTATTCAAGCCAAAGATTCTCTTTATTTTCAAAATGTAATTTATGTGTTTTTCTATATTAAAGGAGAAGTGACCGGATGTGAGCTCTGCTCCATAACTTTGTCCTCTCTATTACTTGATTGAATGGTTCACCCCAGCAGGAAATGGCTTCCCGTCCTCAAACTCTTGCAACATGTTGCCTAAACAAGTTATTTTTTTCACATGCTTGCTTGTATTTCTGCACATACCTTGTTTTCTCCAAGGGATACTCTTTTGAAGAGTATCTTGATTTGGGGCCCACCACAAAGTCACCAGTCACAAAATGCTGGTTGTGCCAATGGGAGGAATAAATCATCAATTTCCTGATGGGTATTCCGGTCCTATGGGCGAGTCCTGCTTGAGCAGCCAAATGGGATTTCAGGGACAGCCCTGGTGGCACCAACAGGATTTAGTTTTTTAAAAATCCTAACTTTATGCATCAACAGCAGTTGAGGTGTAAAGATCATCTTGAGTTTGGCAGAATAATTCTCTGTTTAGGGTTTTTATAGAATACAAAGACTCCTACTGAGAAGAAACTTTGCGGTTTTTCCTCTTTTCACCAAACTTTTGGATCTCTCTCCAAGTGTTACTTCATGGATAAATACAATATTTGACATTTCCCTTACAAACTTTGTAGATGCAGGCCTTAAGTAAAATTCTCTAGCCTTAAGCTATCATCTGTTCTTCCTTTACATTTCTTCTAATATCATCTTCATAGAATTAAATGTCTGGATGAGGGCCCTCCCTGGTGGTGTAATGGGTTGGACTGCAGCATTATGAAGATAGCCACAGCCGCTTCAACACAAGTTCAATCCTGGCCAGGGGCTTAACCCACATGGTGTGGCAGACCTCACCTGGTCCTCCAGCTGCTCCCTCAGCATTGTACTTCGTCATGCGGCCTGTTCTGCTCCCCACTCTGTCTCTGGTGAATCCTCTCACTGCCCCTGCACCTCTGGCCTATATACCAGTTCTGTATAAATAAATAAATAAATAAATAAATAGATCTTTAAAAATAAGTCTGGATATGAAAATTGTATTTAGGACAGCTGATTCCAGAAGTACACTTTAAAATATTATAGCAGTTGCATAGGGTTGTGGGCACACTACAGGAGGTTGTAAGAAAAATGAATTGTGACTGTCTTTCTCCTTGACCTTTTTGACCAAACTTTATTACTCATTTAATGGAGTTATGACAAAGCATAGGAATCAAAACACATGGGGATCACAGAGGCTGTTATGTTTATTGTGCAGAACAGACAGTGATAATCCACTAGAGAAATATTTCAACAAGCAAGCGATTCAAAGTACAATCATAGACAGCAACTCTACATGAAGAACAAAGAATAAAGTTAGAAGACACTCAAAGGAACAGGGAGAAAGTCAACTGCAGTTAAACGTTTTGATACTTTTCTCCTGCAAACATACCTAACTTGCAGAAATGGTAAAGTTCAATGTCCAGTCTTACTTAGCCGAGACCAACAACAGCAAAGAACAGTCCTATAAAATTTATCTCCCACAAAAAATAAACTATATATATAAAAATTTTATGATGTTCTTACTGTTCCATTGGCCACAAGCTTTTGTTTTTTTCATTATGAAAAATGAGGTATACTGGGGCTTAGAGGTAGTAGTGTGTTTTGATTGTACAACGATAGGAAATAAAAGAATAACTTCATCAGAGATGGAAACCTCTCGGTGCTCCGAGTTTGGCCAACACGAGCCACTGCTTTCGTTTTATGCTCTGGCCAACGAGGTTTTGAAAAGGCCCAACTCAAGACACGGAGGGGCACTTTTCTTTTTGTGAGCCACTGTTTATTTGCTTATTTAATGCACAGTTAACAGTATTCTTGAGTTTTAATTCTCTCATAGCTCCTTTGGTGATTCACCACAGTGAGTCAGTCTCAGAAAGGCATGTGGCCTTTGAAACTACCTCCCTGAAGTGGCTGGAAGAGAGATGGTTTTGAGTTTCATTTGGCTTCAAAACTAAAAGCCACACTGACACAAGCTGTCACGAGAAACTACCTCCTGGCCCAGTTGATAATACCATGGTAAAAAGTCAGCACACTCTACTAGGAGAGAAAGGAATAAAAACTCCACATAAGAAGCGTTTAAAATAAATCTGGTTGAGACATATTACAAAAATCACATTTGTGTAAAATACATGAAAATATCTGTCAAGCATTTTCTCATATTCAACTAATCTTAAAGACACATATTTTTGATTGCATCATGCAAAAGCTGGGCTTGTTGCATCTCACCTACAAATCTTCAAGTTTCTTTGAAGGTTGCCTTTATTTTAGTTATTTGCAAAAGTAAGTAAAAATGTTTTCCTTTCTATCAAACATCTCTTACAAAAATAGTTTTGACTAGGAATAGCTGCAGTCTGAATTATTGCAAACATTGACAAAAACGAATGCGGCAGGGAACAAGCCCATTCCTTTCGAAGTCTGGAGGTAGGTCTTTGCAAGTCAATTAGTCCATTTCCTTAAACAATTCATTTGAGGTACAAACTTGGAGGGTATTATTAAACATTACAGTCCAATTTCATGTGATGTGTAGTGTGATTGAGGAAAATTATCCTTAAGAACCTAGGAGCGACTTGGTTAAAACAATATTCAAGTTAATGGAGAAATCTAGCAGAGAAACTGAAACAAGTATTTGTAAAATTTTAATTAAAAAAAAAAACAAACATAGAAAAATACATAGCCATGCTGGAACACAGTAAGGAGACTGCTTCTTTAACTGCAATTTCATGTACAAAAAGAACTGCAGATGATCAGAATCACCTACCCATTATGTTTTTCTCTTGCATTGATTGTGTATAGCAGCATGTAATAAGTACTAAACTGTAAATTAATTGTAACATTCAGAGGTAGTATTGAGTAGTGGGGATATATTGCATCTCTGGCTAAAAGTGCAGTTTGAATGAAGAGATGGTTAACAGAAGTCAAAGTAAAAACACCTCAGTCAACCATCCTATGTCAAAACATATTACTTGACGTAACACATAAGCTTAATTTGAGGTAAGTGGTATTTAGGTCTTTCACGGAAATGGATACACAATGGAGAAAGAGAGAGAGAAAGTGAGAGAGAAAGGGAGTGCATTTTTTTGTTTGTTTTTTCAATTGTAGTATATATATAACATAGCAAAAGAAATTTAGGTTTCGCTCCTCCCACCTTGTAATTCAGGTGAGTTCACCATGCATTATTCTGTTGTACCTTGTCATTAATTTACAAAGAGGATAATTTTGCTGTCTAGGCTCCTTAAATGCTTTGAGGCTGACAAATGTGATTTACGGCAAAATGACATTTGGTTCTGTAGAAAGTAGATTTTCCCAGGACAAGTGTTGTCCTCAAAAAAGCACTAGAAGTAAAGGCATCTCTCCCACTGACAGGAGAGAGCCGGGAAGGCTGGCGCAGGCAGTCTTTTGTTTTTTTTTTTTTTTATGATTACTTCCCTTTTTGAAAAACAAACATAAGTTTTTCTGGCTTGTGAGCTGAATGAAAGGGATACATCAGCATTTTGTCTCACTTAGAAATAAAAGTTAAAAAAAATCATCAAGTAAGCGTCTACAAGATTATAAGGAAAGACAGAGAAGTAGTATCTAGTCCTATCTTTGGTGTTCTAAACAGAGGCTTCTCTACAGCGGGCGGG